GTAAAAGTTAAACAGTGGTTTACTGAAACTTCTTATAAGGGTGTAAAATGCAGTGGCAGTGCTAATATTAGTTGTTTCCTTATAAGGAAATGTTGTAAAATAAAGGATCATGGGATATGAAGTTCTTTCGCATGTGATATATTCTCCATATTTGTCATTTTGAGATTATTTATTCTTTCATTTAATAAAATACGTACTTTCTGTCTGGTCAGCTATTCCAGTTATTTTAAAACAGTGATTCCCAAAATAAGCGGTATCATCCCCACGTCCTTGCGGGCGATGAAAAGATCTAGGATGGAGGTAAGAAAAATAGTATACAGCTAGAGGGTAGCAGAAACACATCTGAAATATATCACACACCAGACGCACACATTGTACCTGAAATGTATCCTGTCTCCACTTTACAGTGTATGCCATTTATATAACAATTATTATTGAAAGACAAAGATAGTCATTTGATATGCATTACTAGCACCAAGAATATAAAATCAAAGATTGACTATACATTTGAAGGCAGCATTAGGGCTGTCTTTTGATTCGCAAGGTGGAAAAAAAAACAAAAGTTTGAGAACCACAGATTTAAAGTATCAAAACATTCCCCAAAATAAGTCAATAAATCAACTCTATAAACATTCTTTTCTTGATGTATTTATTGATTCCAGCCCACATAAATTTACTACTTCTCTATATAGGAAACCCACTCGTATTAACTCGTGTCTTCTTAATTACAATAGAGAATGCCCCAGCGATATAATTTAGCTGCTATAAAAATTAATCCAACACACATAAATGATATCTTCTTCCAAAACCATATTCTATAAAGAATTACATAACATTAAACAAAGACTTGTTAATAATGGATTTCCTAATTCCGTCATTGGTCAACAAATTAACATGTATCTCAATAAACTTAGTAAAAACTCTAACAAAATTGATAATAATAATATTGTATGTCAAAATAAACATAACACTATCAACATATACTGTTGTAACCAAATGCATAATAATTACAAACACAATAAAACAACACTCAAAAACATAATAGGTAGAAATGTTAAACCCATTAATAATAATAAACAAGTTAATCTCATCATATATTATAAAAAAATTAAAACAATTGACCTCATAGTCTCTAATAACCCTACAACCACACAACTAAATCCTCTACAAAAAAACCAATGTAGTGTATCAATTTACATGCCCATCCAGAGATTGTGTCTCTGATGCTAATAATAGACCTGCTACATATATTGGTTTTACTACAACCACACTCTCCTGTAGACTTACCTGTCACCTTTCTGAACTTAGTTCTTAGAAAAACATAGCCATAATATTAAACAGATAATAGTTGATAATACAACAATACTCACGCATACATACAGTAAAAAGAACCTTCAGAAATTGGAGGCCATCTACATTAAAACAAAGTAACCCACACTCAACAAAATTACATTTCAAACTAGTCACAACACTTTACATTGCATCTAGACATTGTTTCTGTTGTAATACTTTGGTATGTCACGTGGTATGACCCCATAAAACCACATCTTGAACGTACGGTCTGCGTCTGCTATTCCACGACCGTTAACGTCGCATAGCCATCTTCTATGTCAAAATAACAAAATATAATCTTTGATGGTGGCTATCTTTGTTTCATGTTTGTATAACCACTCTGAGGATGGCTCATGTGAGCCGAAAGCTTAGGACCAACTTAATAAAAAAATATCCAAATGTTGGACAATTTTTGTCTTTGTTTTCACCAGAAATTAAAGCAAACATTCAAACATTAAAACAGCTCATGATCAGATATAATAGACATTCATTGTCTGTTATATTTAATAATATATGTTTAAACATAACTTATCTAAAAACTGTTATAAGATCATAGAAAGCCCGCGAAAAATCATTTCACGATCGAAATAAATTTATAATGAATACATTTTTAAATGCTCAATCAGTTTATATTTTTTAGCAACTCTCTTCTAAATGTATTTTACATCAGGGAAGTAAAAATGTGAGATTAAAATTGTTTTCTTTACAGTAACATTTTTTAAAAATCGGTATCAACCCATGCAAGACAATAAAGCCACTAAGACTGTCAATGTCGTTGACAAAACTAACCTGGCTGCTGATCTTGAATAGGCCCTCCAATCTGTGGCTGACTGGGGCAGGAAATGGCTTGTAAACGTTAATGCCTCCAAAACGAAACTGCTCTCCTTTGCCCGCCACAGAGAACCCTTCCTACCTCCCATCAGAATAGCTGATTCCTAACTCCTTGAGAACGCCTCGTTACGACTCCTTGGTCTCACGCTGTCCATTGACATGTGGTGGAATAAATACATTAAATCAATAGCTTCATTTACCGCAAGGAAAATTGGCCCTCTGTGATGTGCCAGAAAGTTTTTCTCGTCTGGGTGCATCTTTCAGATCTATAAATCACCCATCCGTCCTTGCATGGAATATTGATGCCATATATGGTCTGGTGCTCCTGCTGTACGTCTCGAGGTCCTCGACAAAATCCAGAGACGAATATGCAAGATGACAGGTCCTGATCTGGCATCTAGTCTACAATCGCTATCCCACAAACGTGCCGTAGTCTCCCTCTATCTCTTCTACAAGTATTTTCACGGCAACTCTTCCGACGAGCTACTTTCGTTAGTTCCCGGACTACATGAATTTAAACGAGCTACCAGGCTGCCATCTCAGTCCCACCCTTTCACCGTCAAAACGATTAAATATAACCGTCTCTTCTTCTCAAACAGCTTCTTCTCTTGTACTTCCGGTCTGTGGAACTGCCTTCCTCTTGGTTGCTTCCCTGATAACTATAATCTTCAAATATTCAAGTGTAATGTCAATCGACATCTTTTGATACATTGATCTTGTTCCCTGTCCTTCTTTGTATCCTTTCCTCAAACACGTCTCTTTAATCTTGTTCTCAATCCTCTGTAATCCCTTGCTTGGGGTGAATTGCCTTAATGTATATATATATATATATATATATATATATATATATATATATATAATGCTATTGTTAATAAAATGATGTTCGATGTCATATAACAGTGCTATTAAGTATATATTAATAAATATACATATTATTCTTCACCAGTAGCACGACTCAGAATTTTCATACACAACGCAATATTCAGGTGCTGATTAGAGACTGACCGTTACATAATATAATTTTAATAAAATATCTGGTTAACCGAATGTTGGCGCAGTCCATATATTATACAGTGATTATTTTTTTTATTTTAAAAAATATTTTACATTTAAAATAAATATATATTTATACCTATCTCTCTCTCTGTGTCTATATATATATATATATATATATATAAAATAATATATATTATTTAAAGATAAAAATAAATTCTTATTTAAAGTTGTGAATATTATATTTTAATCTAAGAACGTACGTTCATTCAATTCGATATTTGTAACTTTTACCCGTCCATCACCGACAATCTACTAATGTCTGCATTCAATTTAGCAAAAAATTACTGTCCTATTAGCGATCGCGAAAACAAAATCATAAATATTGTTATTTTGTAAGGCAGTTCTAGTTGAACTAATCCTCTGCCTCCTTCGGATCTGAACATATACAGACGATTAACATCGGCCCTAGGATGATGCATGCGGTGGCAAGTGAGAAGCTTTCTCGTTTTGACATCAATTCGCTTAATATTGGTGATGATCTAATTAAGGATGTTGAAAATGTATTGCACAACAGGGACAGCCAAAGCTTTTATGACTGGTATTCTGTCTTCTGAATTCAAATTGGTATTGGTCTTTAGTATTATTTTCTTAATTTTTCCATCATTTGGGTATTCAGTATTCGATCTCCTCCACTGACTCCTAGGTATTTATAGGCATCTTTCTGACAAAATCCTGTTTCATTAATTCTCCATTCTTAAATGCTACTTACATTAGTAAGGAGACCTTTCTACTCACTGAGTTCTTTGGTAAAAGTTTGAGATTATCCATGTAGAATAAGTGATTAAAAACTGTTCATTTTGTATCCATAGTTACAAAACCTCAGTACATGGGAAAGTGGAGTTAGGGACAAACAAAACAGGAGGGGTGGCAGGGAATCTCCTTGAAAGATTCCTTGTCGGATATTCAAACAGTTGGAAGTGACAGTATCTTTGGCGTGATTTTGGTATAATGTGGGTTTTCACAGTTCAATTGAACGATATTTTCTATACCAAAGATGACAAAAACATTCCTAAAACCTTAAGGATCTAAGAGTGGCATACGGTCAAAGGCTTTACGGTAATCTATCCAAGCTGTGCTGAGATTTCTAATTTTTTTCCTGCAGTTAATTAGTAGTTGATCTTTGCACTTCGACTTCACTTCTGTTCCAGTGGAAGAATAATGTTTTAATCGAGAAAAGACTAAGTACAGTTCTTCAGGACAGATGTAATGAATGTATATGTGATGGACAGATATGTTGTTGGCCTATAGTTTTTTGGATAATCTTTATTCACCCGTTTTTGGTAGGAGATATGTAATTCCTTCAGTGATCCATTCTGGAATTTCATTGGTGTTAATCAGAAGCATTAATAAAACTTGCGTAAGAGTTTTATGGATTGATGACATATGTGAGAGTCAAAAGTTGGGTACCTTGTCATTTCCTGGGGAATTTCCATTTTGGGGATTTTCTTAGAATTTGCCTAACATTATTCTTATTTTTTCATTCCTGCACAGGTTTTTATCGTTCATTATTTCTTGTTCTCTTTTGATCCACTTTGCATTGGAATTCTATTCCTTTGGGTTGTTCCAAATAATGTCATAAAAGTTTTGCACTTCTTCAATAAAGGTTATTTTCTTTAACTTGTATAACATCTTTTTCCAATTTCTTGAGGTCTCTTTAACATAATTTATTTTGCCGATGGAACGTACAACGCTTTTCATATTGTCTTGTTCGCTGTCACTTTAATTGTACTTTCTGTTGTAGAATTTCCTTGATTGGTGGAATTTCATTTACTTCTTTAATTTCATACACGATCACTGAAGTTAAGCAACATCGAGCCTGGTCAGTACCTAGATGGGTGACAGCTTGGGAATACCAGGTGCTGTATGCTTGGATGTGTGGGTGGTGTAGTGGATAATGTCTCGGAATTGTTAATCGGAGAGTCGAGTTCCCGTACGATCACCGAAGTTAAGCAACGTTGAGCTTGGTCAGTACCTAGAGGGGTGACAGCTTGGAAATTCTAGGTGCTGTAACCTTAGATGTGTGGGTGGTATAATGTATAAAGGATCGGAATTGGAAATCGGAGAGCCGTGTTTCCAATTTCAGTTGGTTTCGTTGTATTCGCACATACCCTTGGAAAGGTATGAATCCACATCTTCTTCCCCCAGCTATGGGTTAATTAGTAGAAATTGTATTAGTAAAAATCCTTATTATCTCTAAAAATTCTTATAATGTAAAAATATTTTTGGTTTTAAATTACCTGCAAAAAGTTGATAAGCCGTAAAAAACAAGTTCCTTAAAAAACCTACACACAACTGCTTTAAAGATGACGATTATTTTCTTTCATTTGGGTATGCAGTATGCAGAGTGGTACACGGTCAAAGGCTTTACGGTAATCTATCCAAGCTGTGCTGAGATTTCTAATTTTTTTCCTGCAGTTTTTTTATTAGTAGTTGATCTTTGCAATTATATGAAGTTCTTCGTCTTCCCTTCTGTTCCAGTGGAAGAATAATGTTTTATTTTTATATATCTGCGTTTGTGTATCTGCGAGTGCTTTTTTCGTATTTGTTAGCGAGTTTAGGTACGTGTCTGTGAGAGTGAACAGTGTTTCATTCATAAACAAGATCGTGTAGACTTTTATAAATATGAAATCATGAAAGAAAAAAAACGACCAAGGTAGTCAAGGAAAATTTTGAGTGCGACGCATTAAATCATATCTGACGAAAAAATTATAGTTCATAGATAAGAAACGGAAGACATTTTTTCATGATGTAACGGGACGCTAAAAGAAGATTAATGCATATATATATATATATATATATATATATATATATATATATATATATATATATATATATATATGTGTGTGTGTGTGTGTTTATGTATGTATGTATGTATATACAACGATTAAAATGAGAAATTCACTAACAACCAGCGTCCACAGGGACAAAAGAGATTACAAAAATGTGACAAACAATAAAAGCTGAATAACAGGTGCTGTATACATGTAAACGTAATGACACCATAGACTCACTGGTAAGGCTATTATTCTAGACATAGGCCAAAGTAAACTAAATTTAATAAACACCAAACAACACAAGATGGCTTAATAGTTAGTAAAGTAGGCAGCAAAACATTTTCGTTTGTGCAGAAAGTTCCGTAATCAATACCTATTCCAGAATTCTGATTCTCTCTCAGACTAGGATACACTTAGTAAACGGATATCCAGTAGAGAATGTAGAATAAATATCAAAAATCTTTTTTAGATATTTTTGTTTCAATGCACACACGCGCACGCGCACACACACACACACACACACACACACACACACACACACACACACACATATATATATATATATATATATATATATATATATATATATATATATATAAAAGTAATTTACATTTCAGTTAACCCCCACCGATATATTTACAATACCCTTCTTCTTCTTCTTCTTCTTCTTCTATTACACCCAACGTCGTGCGTTTATTTAATTATTTTTGAAAATAATAATATAGCATTCATTAGTTTTTTTAAAAATCGCCTGAGGATGCCGTAAGGTTGAAACCAGGGTAGCGGATTCAACTGATTTCCTCGATACAGAAGATACGGAACGAAATACAGAAAATTACACAATGAAAGGACCAAATGCAGGCAAGCTAAAGAAGAATGACTAAACGAAAAATGTGCAGAAATAAAAAGATTGAGTAGCACCAATAAAAGTGGCACAAAAAAATAAGGCAACTAACAGGACAGAAGACATGCTCGTCAACAGGCCGTTTAAAATCAAAGGATGGAACGCTCATATTAGAGAAGGAAAAAAATTCTTCAAATCTGGAGCGAGTATATTGGAGAACTCTTCCAGGACGTAAGGAAACAACCAGCAATACACAAAAATACCGACGGACATGGAATTCTGAAAACCGGAGTAAAAGCTGCAATGGCCAAATTGAACAGAAAAAAGGTGGCATAACCAGACGGAATTGTAACGGAATTGCTGTCAGCTTTAGATATCTTTGGCATTGATAAGATCACATAAATAACAAATGAAATCTACAATAGCGGGAAAATACCGGAAAACCTCAGCAGGTCTATCTTCATAGCTATGCCTAAGAAACCAGGTGCAAACGAATGCAAACTCCACTGAACAATAAGCCTAATGAGCCACGGGACAAAACTCATCATCCGTATTCTAATGAACAGAGCACGCAGCAGAATCAGCCCAGAGATAGGACAAGAACTGTGCGGTTTCGTTAAAGACACCGGAACAAAGAACTCGATATTTATGCTCAGAATGTTGTTAGAAAGAGCGATGCGGATGCAGAAGGACGTGTACCTATGTTTTATAGACGACGCAAAACCCTCGACAAAGTACGCCAAAGATCTGATAGAACTTCTCAGCAACCTTGATATTTTCAGGAAAGACATCAGAATAATCAAGAACCTATACTGGCAGTAAACAGCATGCATGCACATAGGGAACGAGTTCAGTGAATATACAAAATTAGAAAGGGGCGTAAGGCAAGGATGCGTCTTCTCACCAGACTTATTCAACCTATACAGCGAGGCAATTCTAAGAGAATTGGAAACCCTACCGGGATTTAGCATTGGTGGCCACAATCTTAACAACATAAAATACGCAGATGATACAGTACTGATAGCAAACACGGAAAAGAAATTACAAAATCTCCTACAGAAGGTAGCGATGGAGAGCGAGAAGAAAGGACTAAGCATAAACTACAAGAAGACAGAATGCATAGTCATCAGTAAGAGGGAGAGCCTGAAATGCGATGTGAAGGCTGAGAACACTAGAATCAAGCAGACGCAGAAGATTAGATATCTGGGAAGCGTCTTGACAGAGGACGGTAAGTACGATACTGAGATCCGTAGACGTATTGCGATGGCCAAAGACACATTGCAAAAGCTGGACAGAGTACCGCGAGACAGGAGGATATCTTTGGTAACAAAGAAAAGAATACTGAGCTGTTATGTGACATCTGTCCTTCTTTATGGCAGCGAATGTTGGATGATTTCCTCAAAGGTGAAGAAGAGACTCGAGGCGACAGAAATGTTGTTCTACAGAAGGATGCCAAGGATATCATGAGCCGAGCATGTGAGCAACGATGAGATCTTAGAGAGGTTGCAAACAAGCAGAAGGCCCATACTTAATATCAAGAAGAGACAGCTGAAGTTTCTGGGACACATAATGAGGAAGGAGGGCCTGGAGAATCTGATACTCACAGGTCGACTAGAGGGAAAGAGAGACAAGGGAAAACAAAGCGTGACATACCTGGCGGACTTAAGCAAGTGTCTGACAGAACGTGGTCTGGGGGAGGAAGCAGAGGGAAGGAACGTTGAGAGCTGCAAGGCATAGAGGAAGGTGGAGAGCCATGGTCGCCTACATCCTGAAAAGACATGGCACATGAAAAGAAAAAGACACATATATATATATATATATATATATCAAGTGAGAAAGAGAGAGAGAGAGAGAGAGAGAGAGAGAGAGAGAGAGAGAGAGAGAGAGACAGAGATAACTCCAAAATAAATTATTTAAAAAAGCCGGAGCTTCTACTCAAACACGGTTATCCACTTAAAATAACGCTTGAAGTAATAAACATATGTTGAGTTAAAAAACAAAGTCCATTGATTCTTTATAAATTGGTTTGTTTACAGTATTTACATTAGTCGGACTATTGTTCTCATCTTTGTCGCCATATTTGTCACAACGTTTCGGCCGTTGTACGCTCCGGCCTTCTTCAGGTGGTTGGAATTTCGAACTGAACCCTTTATTTCAATCACTGGGGTAGACTGTTCTAGTTCCACGTGCCATGTTTGATGGATGTCAGTTATCAGTTATCTCCTGCTAATTTTCCCTCTGAAAGTTCTCCACTGCCTTAACCGGGTCCTGTCACTGGATCTAACCAACGCCTTTATCCACTGTGCCATGTGTCCTTGAGGACATCTGGGTATGAATTTCTGGGTATTATAAACCTAATGTTTTCAGCAACCATTTTTACCAGTGCTCATATTGCAATTTTGCTGTTATCATTGCATGTTTTTACCAGAGCTCATATTGCAACTTTGTTATCATTGATTTTCTCTGGCACTCCTTATTACTGGTTCCCGTATTGTATTTATTTCTATGCTTGGTCGGCTCAGGAGATTTTTGTGGCCTAGCATATGTGCTGATTCCTTAAGTTTACGAATTTTCCAATGGTGTTCCCTGTCTATGATCTCAACATGATCCCACAGGGGACGGTGATCTCCCTTCTCTCTCTATATGTGGTCAGCTACGCCTGAAGAAGGTCGGAGCGTACAACGGCCTAAACGTTGTGACAAATATGGCGACAAAGATGAGGACAATAGTCCGACTAATGTAAATACTGTACACCTCAGAAATATAGACAGACTCTGGTGGTTTGTTTACTTTTCGGATACAGAACCTAGCAGTTATGTGTTTCAAGAAATTTCTGAACGATTGTGTGTGCTTTAAAGGCAAAACAGAACCTCGCTGAATTGTGAAGTCCTACGTATACGAGCGGTCAAAGAACGCCGGACTAGACGGTGTTTCCTCCTACAAAGGGAAGCGCAGGTTTGAATCATGCTGAAAGGTACATTTTCTTTATTGGGTTTTGTCGAGTACACATGCCGGTAGACGAAATAAATACTATTTAAAATAAACGCATCATCTACTTAAATACTAATATCTATCTATCTATCTATCTATCTATCTATCTATTACAGTGTGCAGCTTATATATTATATATTATATCATAAAGTAGTAATTTATACAAAGAATTAATTGGCAATATTAATGGGATTAATGGCGAAATCACTTCTCTATCAAGACTTAATGAGACATTAACTTACTGTCAATTCCTTGAATAATACCATCCTTATATTTGAGTTGTTTTCAGGTGGAATTGACGAGCCAAGTACTTTCAACAATTTCAAATTGTCATCTTCGGGGCGCAATTTTTACATATACGGGCAAAACACTGAGATGATAGATAGATAGATAGATAGATAG